AAGCATACCCTAAATAATTTTTAAAAATATATTTTAATTGCTATATTAAGAGCAAACCATCACATTTTAATATTTGTATCATCAACAGGATTTATAGTGTGCATTTACATTATTTTCCTCTTCTTAAGATACTACTGGTGCTTGCAATGTAGAACAGATACCTAAATTCTAATATCATTAATATATGCCAAGTACTACTCCTTTCTCTGACACTATTCATCATATTCTAATTAATCATCAAGGAAGAAATCACATATTCTTTTTCAGATATGGACCAATAACTCTTGTGAAAATTAAATCATCTTTCAGAAACATTTCATTCCTTGGTGCTAATAATTCAGTGCAAATGAAATTTCAGATCAGTCAGATCATATTATATAATTTTCGTTGTGATGCTCCATCTCATGTATGGAAATTTCATTCTGTATTTGGAATCTGCTTTTTTTTCCTAATGTCATTTGTAATATTGTGATAAGTAGCAAAAGACCATTCACAAAGTATAATATGAGCTTGAATTGAAGCTGGAAAAAGTTAGAGAACAGTGTTTGTAAAGGCACGAACGAGTGGATAGGTCACCATGAACAAGAAGGGAAAAGCAGAATATTCTTGTTCATTTAGCAATATTTAATCTCATTTTACCCTTTATCTCTCCACTACTACACTTTATAACATCAATGACCAAATTTTCTAGGATAATTTGTAATTCATTCCTATACTCATTGCAGTACATAAACAGGAAAATGGTCCTATGGGCTGAATGTTTATGTCCTTGCCACCCTCAAATTTATATGTTAAAGTTCTAACCCCCAAGGTGATTAGATCATGAGGACTGAGCTCTTATGAATGGGATCAATACCCTCATAAACTAGGACCAAGGGAGCTTATTTGCCCCTTTCCATGCACCATGTGAGGACACAGCAAGAAGACGCCATATACGAACCAGGAAACAGGACCTCACCAGACATTGAATCTGCCTTTATCTTAAACTTTCCAACCTCCAGAACTGTGAGAAATACATTCCTGTTTTTTATAAGCTACGCAATATATGATGTTTCGTTGTAGCAGACCAAATGGACTAAGACAAATGGAAAGACAAAAAATCTTTCAAGGCCCATTTACATATATTATTTTTTAGATCCATGATCTGTCTTATGATAAGTAGTAGTTGGTATGGGTAGGTGAGAACTTCTATGTCCGTTTAGTGACATTCTGTGTGATAAAGCCTGAGTCATCAAGACAGTCAACCATGGATCTTATTGTGGTTCTTATCCACTTTCATACCGAGCAACCATTGCCATGACCCAGGAACTCCTGGTTTATGTCCTTGAACCATGGAATGGCATAGAAAGCATGAAGGTACTGCTGTAATCATTCTGCCTTTTACCACAGAAATTCAAGAGCACCTGCTCCTATTTATGTTTTCACAAGAGACAACAGTCTTTTTTTGTTGTTTTTGATTTTATTTTAAAAAATCACTGGTGATATTTTTGAGTCCTTAAGTCTCAGTATAGATAACTGTACTTGCAAACATATAAGTACAAATTCAGTAAAATGAACATCTCCAACTAAATCATAATGCTTTAAAATCCCATTCATTGGAAAGTGGACCTCAGATTCACAAACTTTATCCTCTTTGGAAGTCTCCCTCTGCCTTTCCTGTTAGCATATTGTAAAATAAAATCATCTTTTTTAGACATATTTTCCTCTTTATATGATCTATGTCATAAAATGGCATTTTTTACTTTCTGGAATTGTGACAATAATCTACATTTTAGTATGTGCCAAGAAGTGTTAGGGGAACATTTATCAGCCACTATAATCTCAGTGATCTATAATGTTCTCTATAAGAACAGTATATGAAAATAACTCTCTTACATAAAAATAACAGAAGTATGCACAAGTTTTACGTAGAACGGATGTGTAAAACACGGGAAAGTTCAACTTATGAAATCTTATGCTGTTCTAATTATGTGCATTACAGATGGTCTGTGTACCAAAGTTCTTGGAGAAAGACTAAAGGCATACTAGACACAGAGTCTTAATCAAGTGGATAATGGTAGAATTGTCTAATAAATATTATCCTCCATCACTGCCATGAAGAACTGATACATTACTTAAGTATGTTTAGCTTTGGTTCTTCCCAGGACAGGTTCTGAGGCAGGAATTAGATGTTCCAGGTGAAAGAGAACCTGATGAATCATTAGGTACAGCTGTTATGGCAAATGTTACTCCAAAACTGAGAGATTCCAAACGACATCTAACCGTTGTCTGAATGCTTTTCCAATATAGAAGTTGGGATTTGCAATTACTGGGCATGAGGGATCAGTCTAGACAACAGCACCCATTCTGAGTCTGTTTTTTTCATTAAAGGACTCATAAACCATATGAGCATCACCTAAGAATTATTCTACTCTTGGACTAAAGTATGGTGAAGGAAACGATACATTATTTTGTTTCATTTATCAATATATCCCCCAAATAAGTAGGCTTTTATTTTAAGAGACTTAATGTTAAAAAATCTTAAATGATCCAAGTGGTTGATTATGAAGTCTAAAGTAAAATTCTGCTTATTCGTCTCTTTAAAGATGAGGATTAATTATGGGGTTATTCTCAATGAGGCAGATCCAAGGAAATCCTACTAAAAGTGAGACACTACAGGGGAAGTGTCACACTTTTCAAATAAATCAAAATAAGTATATAAAACATAGATTATGGGTGGACATTATGCAGAAAGTCTTACTTTGTTGTGTAAGTTGAAATCATTTTTGAGAAGGGAACTCTAGAACCACAGAGTTTGATTGATACAAAGACCTAACACGAACGAGACCCATGGAGAAGAATGTTGCTACTTATATGGTCACCGAATCACAGAATTTGCTATTCCTCGAGATAGGTAATGTTCACATTTATTAAGAGAATATCCAATACCCAAGGAAGGCTTCTTACACTGACTTCAATGGGTCACATCAGAAAACAATATCCCAACATTGATGCGTTCCCCATAGTTTGGGTATTTCATACTTAAGTAACATCATTGTGACAGATTGCATTGTTGGCTTCACTGGAGGTGCAGTGGATGTCCTCACACCTTAACTTTATGCCTGATCATCTGATGTGCATGGCCAATAACCTAATGGGAGAAGTTACTCTGCTGGTTCAAAGCCTACAGTTAAGAAGTTGTGTGCTTCAATTGTACCTCTTGTACCTCTACAATTGCCAGGAAAAACTGTGCCCAAGCTAGCCCATATATCCAAGGAGAAGGAGAGAAACACGAGCTAAATTGCCTCAGGTGATCCATAGATCTGCAGTGAGGTGTAGTGCTGGCCCAGCTCTGCTTTCTGAAGCAGAGATGTCCAGCAGGTTCCAGCCTAGATCAGCCAACCCCAGCTCATCTGCATATTTGTGAACCATAATAAATTAATATTTGAAGCCATTGAGTTTTGGAGTGATTTGAAACTCAGCAATAGATTATGGTTACAATAGTCAATAACAATTCAGTCCAGACTGAGCTTTACTTGAGCCACTTTTTTTGTTCCCCCATCCCACCCTCTGAGGTGTCAGATGAAGGTCAGGTCCATACATTCTTTTGTCTCCTTTGGCTCAGATGTGCATCTCCCGCAAGTAACTATTGAAAAGAGAGCACAGCTCCACAAAAACAAGTAGAAGTGTGCAGCACAGAGCCATTAAACTACATACTTAGAACAAGAAGCACAAACTCTAAAAAATGCAATTTCTGCAGAGACAAATCTCTCATTAAAGAGAAGCACCATAATAAAATGCATTCCACACAGAACATTTGGCTCCTCTGTCTACAATATTGCATTCAAGTTAATGGTTTCTTCTCAGTTTTTCCTTCTAAATAAGGAGTATGTAATTGCCTTATATGTGAGTAATTAAAGGACTCATTTAAGAAGTTTTCCTAGGTAGAAGAAAACTTATGCAAAGAATAATTTAACTCCTTACCACTGAAAAGAGAGAAACATTTGTATTTTAAAATGTCTTTTGGAGCTTCAGTTCAGACAATATGATACATCAGGAAATAAGAACTCATGAAATAAGAGGAGCCTAATACATATATATATTTATATATTTCACATATATAGTTATATATTCCACTTTTCCCACTTAAGGTATTGTGTGCATTTTTTAACGTTCAAATTTCATAAAGTAATATTCATTACTGAATAATATATCATAAAATCAATATGCCATAATATATTTAACTTTCTATTTATCCTTCTATTTTTTACATTAAAGTTGTTTCCAAATTTTTCCTATTGTAAATAAAATTACAAGTGACCATTCTTATGCATACTCTTTTTATTATTTCTCTGACTACTTATGTAAAAATCTTAGAATTTGAATTACAAGGTCAAAGCATTAAAATCATTTTAGGACTTCTGATTTTTTTTAAGGCTTTTTTAGACACTTCAAATAACATTCTCAAAACTGTATTAACTGACTCAAAAATATACACTGTAGTTAATTTTTCAATAGTTTCCTCTACTAACTGCCATTTATATAATATATAATACATATAATATGTATACAAACACAAAAGTTATTAATTGTTCAACTTATATGCCTCTGGTAAAATAGAATCTCCATGAAGTCAGCGACTATGTCCTCACCATTGTGTACCAACACCTAGGTTAATATCTGGAAAATAATAAAGTTCTATACATATTTGTTCAATGAATAAATAAAACACCAAGTTGTACTTCTGTCATAATAAGGTTTATTTTCAACTTCATATAATGCTTAACAATTTTTAGTCATTTTGAGTTCTGTCCGTGCTAATGTGAAATAATTGTACATGTCTTTTGCCGTCCTTTGAGGGTTTTAACTTTGAAAATCTCTCTGAGCTGTTTTCAGTAAAATTCAAAGGGATGTCAAGTCCTATTGGGCTTCATCAGTATGAGAGAAAGCTTCAAAATGATATAAAATATCCTACATGCAAACTTATCTTAAAATTGACATCCAAAGTGATCTTCAGTGGATCCATAACACAATCAAATTTGTGGGAATATGTGTGTAATTCTCCTAAACTCTGAGCAAAATCCAATAATTGAAGCTGTTATGCTGAGGAAGTCTAATAGCTTTCAACCGGATTTTTATGATGGTTTTCTTTCTTTAATTCCCCCGATACATGTATCCTTTTCTTTTTTTTTTTTTTTTATTTTTGGAGGCTAGCCAGTACACCTATCCTTTTTGTGAACTAAAATACAGTCTGAACCCTACATTTTAATGCCAATGAATTTCCATGCATTGCATACTGTAAGTTTTTAACACGTTCCTCCAGAAGATTCAATTGGGAACTATATCTGAGTCACCTTCATTAGCTATTAACTCCACCTTCTCTAGTGCTAGGCAGGTATATGAAATACAATAATTTGAAAGTAATCATTGGAGTTAAGAATTAAAGTCTTTATTTATTTATTTTTGGTGGCTGGCCTATACAGGGATGCTAACTCTTGACCTTGGTATTATCAATACTTTGCTCTACCAAGTGAGATAACCATCTAGACCAAAAAAATGATTTTTTTTCCCCTAACTTAACCATCTCTGCCAAAAAGGCATATAATTTTTTCAGAAATTTTCATCTTTAAGCATATTTAGGATTATTCCTCATGTAATTCTTTTTTAGAAATAATCTTCTTTCTTTTTTCTTTTCAAATGAAACATAATTGATTGTACATATCCGTGGGGTACAGTGTTGAATATCAATACCTGTATGTAATAGGCAATGCTCAAATCAGGATAATTAGTACATTCAACCTTACGCACTGTAGTCGTTTTTTGTGGCCCTTTGACAATTTCTCGCTGACTCCTGTTTCTCTCCCCTTTTTCCACCTTTGTTGGCCTAGGTTCTGTTCTCTCATTTTGAAAGTTCTACCAATTATTGTGATGGCTGTATCTTTCTTTCTTTTTTTTAAATGTTTTGTTTATTTTTCAGCTCCCACTTGTGAGTAAGGACATATAGTATTTCTCTTTTTGTGCCTGGCTTATTTCACTTAACATAATTTTCTCTAAGTTCATCCACATTGCTGTAAATGGCAGAATTTCATTCTTTTTATGGCAGAGTAGTATTCCATAGTGTACATATTCCACATTTTCCTTATCCAGTTATCCATTGATGGACATTCAGGTTGGTTCCAACTCTTGTCTATTGTAAATACAGTTACAATGAACATGGAAGTCCAGGTAAACTTTTGACATGATGATTTCCATTCCTTGGGGTATATACCCAGCAGTGGGATTGCTGAATGATATGGAAGTTCTAGCTGTAGTTTTCTGAGGAACTTCCATACTGTTTTCCATAATAGCTTCACCAATTTACAAATGTCAGTCCCACCAACAGTGTGGGAAAGTTCTCCTTTCTTTACATCCTCACCAGCATTTGTTATTCTGACTTTTTGATAATAGCCAATCTAACTAGAGTGAAATGATATCTCAATATAGTTTTGATTTGTGTTTCCCTGATGCTTAATGCCGTTGAGCATTTTTTCATGTCTGTTGGCCATTTGTATGTCTTCCTTTGAGAAATGTCTATTCAGCTCCTTTGACCATTTTTATTTATTTATTTATTTATTTGTTTATTTATTTATTTATTTATTTATTTGNGTACATTCAACCTTACGCACTGTAGTCGTTTTTTGTGGCCCTTTGACAATTTCTCGCTGACCCACGTTTCTCTTCCCTTTTTCCACCTTTGTTGGCCTAGGTTCTGTTCTCTCATTTTGAAAGTTCTACCAATTATTGTGATTGCTGTATCTTTCTTTCTTTTTTTTAAAATGTTTTGTTTATTTTTCAGCTCCCACTTGTGAGTAAGGACATATAGTATTTCTCTTTTTGTGCCTGGCTTATTTCACTTAACATAATTTTCTCTAAGTTCATCCACATTGCTGTAAATGGCAGAATTTCATTCTTTTTTATGGCAGAGTAGTATTCCATTGTGTACATATTCCACATTTTCCTTATCCAGTTATCCACTGATGGACATTCAGGTTGGTTCCAACTCTTGTCTATTGTAAATACAGTTACAATGAACATG